GGGGGGGGGGGGGGTTGGGGGATGTCTATTTAGAATTAATAAAGGTTTTAAAGCTAACCAGTATAAATAAAGTAAGGTTTAGTTTAGGGTTTCCTTCAAGAATTTAACCTCTAGGAAGAACAGTTTAGAAAGTCTAGTCGAAGCACAAATACTTGTATACCTATACATTAGTGACACAATTTCAATAAACGATCCACCTTTTCCAAAAAAGTCACAATTATAATGCATAATTGCGACATATTGTGGGCAGAAGAGAATTAAAATTAATTTATTTTAATGACTGCCGCCTATATTTTTAATGTTAATCTATATTCTATATGTTTTCGAATATGCATACACTTATATATTCCCACAAACAGTCTGGTGTAAGATAAAAATTTTACGAGCGTGGCGCAGAAACAGATAGCAATCATGAACCAAAAACAGATAAGATTTCAGCAAGATTTTTTTGACAAAAATAAGTAAGCTAAATAAACTTATTTACAGGTGGAAATTTACACGGAAACGCGTTCGAGACGTTCCAGACGACATCCTAAGCTAATTACTAAATCAAATATATACAAGAAAAACAACATTGTTTGTGGCTTGTGGCTACCTACGAAAGCTTACGCAAGCCGGCCTGCATTTGGAACCGCATCATTTACGAAAATCGGTTTCTGTGGCTGTGTATTGCCATTGGATATTAACACAAAATTTTCAAATTATTTATGTTTTATCAAAAGCTTTGTCAAAGTTAAAATATGCCACATTTATATATTAATAACAAGCATACTTTCAAATTAAATGGCAAAGGAAACAGTTCGGATAAACTCTAAATCGAAGGGGCATGTTTTAAAGCTAAATTAAAAAGAATCGTTTGGCGGTTTTTGCCTTTGAAGTCTCGAAATCTGAATGATCACAAATCAGAATAGGACTGTACTTGGAACACATCAGCACTTCGTGGAATCAGTCCAAATAGTCTTTCCTACATTTTTTAATGTAAATTTTAAAAAATCTCAGAACTGATCGAGTAGGATGTACTCAGCTGTAATCTGTGTGGACTACAGATGTAAAATGAGTCCAAAATATGCAGCCCGTGGAAGATCGTAAAACATATCAAAATATTCGAAATTGGACGCTCAAGCTTTTGTGTTCAAAAGCGGAATAAATGGTGTCATCTTTGCATAAATAATACTTACTACACTAGGACTATATCAATGAATGTGCGCACGTTGTACAAAAAAAAGCGGCACACCATTCTTAACATTTTTGTCAATGGGACAATGTCAATGTTCCTTGATTTGATTTGATTTGGATGTTCCTTGATTTGATTTGGATAAAAAAAGAATTGGACATCTTTTGAAACCGAATACATTTGACTTAGACTGTTACTTATAATCAAGGTTCCACATTCATGATTATTGAAACTTTAGAATTTTAAATTGAGCATATTTTGTGAGACATGTAAAATTCACACAAAACTCCAAATCTCAGCGTAAAACGATTAATACCCACAATTAAACCGTGATCGTATGGCATATAAATATATACCTATGGAAAAAATTGATCGTGACTTAAAATTTTGAAACAAATACCGTAATTTCAGATTCCTGAGAGCATGTAATATAGAAATGTGTTGTTACAAATATTCTGAATTAGAATGGTCCTAATTCAAGCACGGGAACTTGAAGTCAAAAACGTCAAAGCAAATATTAAATTTCTCAAGGTATGCCACAATATTGTAAATGTAACCATACAAAGTGAATAGTTATCGGAATTCCTTCATGCCTTACCCTTGCGTAAGCTTTCTAATATTGTACAAACACGCATAAATGCATGCAAAAAGTTCTAGAATAAACACCGCTTTATTTGTCCTTATCTTTTATACCGTTTGGCGTTACGCCATAGCCTTCGATTGTCTTAATCTCCTCTGGCATAAAAGCCCATGGTAGATTACTGCCTTGTAGAGGACAACGTTCTCCACTTGGGCAAAATACTTCGGCCGATTCGGACTTTTGCGTAACTATACTCTTACGCGAACAAGGAAAGCAAAATTTATGATGAGCCACTGAAGGGCATTGTACAAAATGAGTGTCCTCTAATCGTCCATTACATAACACGCATGTTAAGACTCCTGGAGTTACAGAATTTCCTTGTTGGTCTTTTACCGTGCTCATACCAGAGTTCTTTTCGACTGCAGATGTGGGTGCCATTTTTCCCGCGCTCATGGGATCAGCTATTCCATTGTGTCGATGCTCGGGCAGAACGCCGCCTAATTGCGCACGACTACGCGTCTCCACGTTGCCCTGCCCCCCCGGCGCTCGATTTGAAACCATTGGAGGTACAGAAGCGGAAGGGATTGTGCTTGTATTACTGGAAGGCAAGCCCATAGACGACATGACGGTTTTACTAGGATCACCCTGTCTTTTAGGATCATCTTTCGCCTGCTTCACTTGCATCTCATTTTCAGCGTCCAATTCGGGTGTAACACGTCTTTTGCGTTGATTTCGACCACGATTCATTATTAATGCTGGGTTGGTCAGCTCGTTCTCACGATAAGGTGCAGGCAACAAATCTGCATTCACGGGCTCTTTGAAGTACCTGACGTTTTCCGAAATAAGGTCTCCGAGCGTTATCCATTCACCAGAACCGTGGATTTTCTCGTATTCTAAGGCTTTATACCCCGACACGGCGCTACTCTTGCCCACATCTTTCATGCTGTCGATCTGCATCTGTTTCGCCACACCGGACGCACTTTGAATATAATTCCCCGAGCCGTATGGATACTCGACGAAAATTTTCATCTCGAAATCGCCAAGTCCCGGCGCGTGAGATTTATTGAACACATCGAAATGCATGGCACGAGCACGTAGACTCGGGTCTTTCTTAAAACGTAATTCAAACGGCGTTGACATGTTCAGCGTAGCTAGGGTCTCTCGCACGAGTCTGGGTTGTTCTTCATGATGTACTCCAGGGTGGGGAAAGCCAGCGACTAAAGCTCCCGAGAATGCTTTCCTCCCCGCGTCGTCTCCGTCACTCGTTTGCTGTCTTGCGTTTGATATAACTGCGTTCATACTAACAGCAGTAGGCATAGCATAACCACGGCCGGCTGGATTTCCCTCGATTTTCACTAACGGTAACTGAGCTGCGTTTACTCGTGGTGGATACATCCCGGCTGGCATGTTTTTGGGTATAGGTTCGCTACGACCCATAGCCGCGTACGCTGGGTTTGATACGTAGAACTTTCGCTGGGCTGCCATGACGCTGTTTGGACTCGTAGTTGTAGCACGTCCGTTCATGGAAGCGTACGGCGGGCTGGGGGATGTATTCGAGTAGTTCCCTTGTTCTGCCTTGGCCTTTTCGAGTTCGTAGTTTTTCCGTAGCGTCCTCGCATGGTCGATGACATACTCGATGCGTTCAGCGCCTTCGTAGTTGCAACAACCGCGACATATCGGCTCGGAGAAATCGGTGAGCATCGCCCACGGTGTATGTGGCAGATCGCACAAGTAACAGTGTTGTCTGTACACCCGCGACGACATCTCATTGCTTTCCTTTCGCATGAACAAAATGGGCGCGGTACACACTTAGCAAAATCTTTACACACACCACTATAAAACGAGAACAAAAAGCAAGCTCGAAACACGACGTCTTAAATATTTCTCAAACCGGTGAACAACAGTCTCCTTACCTCAACGGCGGCTTTTGGCCAACTACAAATTCGTTACGTCACAGAGGTATTCAAAAATTCTTCGAGTTTGCCTACGTCAGAGTGGCGATAATACAAAGTGGGCCAGCTGGCGAAAATAGCGATTTCTGTACAGCCCAATTTCGCTGAGACACAACTAAACGCGATGCTTCTAAGCCACGTAATAGCGGGGTTATACATTAAACGGAAGCACACAATAGGCGAAACAGATCAGAAATGCTTTATAAGTGAGCCTTAATACAATGACGTCACAACGGGCAAATATTCTCGCCCACGTTTCACATTTTTTATTCGCTGGCGGCGTTGCCTTTGAAATCCGAACGAAGCAACGCAGCCAAAATATCGCGACGCGAACCTGCATGTCGTCATCCCAACACTTGACAGACATCGATGTTTCTCATGTCATTCTCGAGGAATACTCGAGTTTCGAGGTCAACATTCACCATTAGCATTGCGAAAGTGCGTGGGGGTATATGAAATGAAAAATTGAATATTAATAAAGGCACATCAAAGCAGCGTTGTTTGTGATGTCATTAAGAGGACACATTCTTTGTAATTCCGATATGAGTGATGAGCTGCGATCACGTGTAGGCAATTACACAGGCCATCCGGCTGAGAAAATTATCATAATATTCCAAAACAAGCTTCGAGGATAATTACCGCATTATAAATAATATGTATTGCCTAAACACATTGCATAAGTGAAAGTCGAGGTAGCTTATTCTAGCGTATGTAATGCACACGAGTCCACACAACCCAACGCATGACGAAATTGACCAAAAGGAAAAATCGTTTTCACATCAACAACGCCTTATCGAAGGGAACACAAAATACGGCATTATCGTTTCTAAAAGGAATTCCAGAGCTATCGACATGGAAATATGATACAGAAAGCTGGGGTGATATTAAACTACTTCAAAAATATAAAGCAGAACTTCAACCCTCGGAGCGAAGGCCCTTCGGCTTCGTCGAAAAGTTAGTGGCATGATATAGCCATACAGTCAAACACCAACACTGTTTTGTTATCATAATATGAAACTCAAGCCCGGTTTAAACCTATACAAATTCAACGAACCGCTCATGTAAGCTCATCCTGGCGCTATAATACCTGAATATCTGAATAAACTTATCAAATTTTTACTAAAATCAGTAAATCACAAAATATAATGATAAAATCAACCCCGTTTATGAAGACGTTAGGTTAGATAATAATGTTATTCATTGAATTCTATATGACTCTATACATAAGTGCTATTAATTAAAAATTCTTTCATGTGCACGCACAGCATGACATTACTGACCTCGTTTTCAAGAGGAGAATTTTTGGAATTTGAATGTGAAAAGGTAGACAAACTACCAAAGTTACAATTGCGCATCAAATTGCCGAGTCGCATTAATAAAAAGTCTCTCTTAGATAGAAATATCTGTCCAAACACTGACGATTTTCTCTCAGACTTTCAGTACGAGGACTCAAGATTCGAACTGAAGGAATTCATCAAGCAAGCATGACACGCAATGACACATAACGAACTTGGCAGGCGACAAGCTATATTGTTTCCTTATTAAAACAGATCTCATTACTTGATCCAAATGGCAAGGAAAGGTTGTGGGAACTGGCCAAAGTATATTGAAGCGAGCATACAATAAATATATCGTAGATAGCAAAAAGGAAATGAATATTTTAAACTCGGAGGAGTTTTGGACGTTGTCCAGGCTCTATTTAACAGGAAAAACGTCAAAATCCGTCGACATGACATCATGTCCACATGCAGTTGTACACAATACCTCGCACAGTAGAATGCCAAAATTTCTAGTAGTTCAAAAGAACAGGTTGTGACATGCGGTTGAATGCAAAAGGCTATGAACACGTGAATGATACTGGAATATTTATATTTTGCATATGAAGGAAATGACCTGTTCAGTCGGCCATTTCTGTTTTACATAAAAATAGAAGTGTGGGTTTATTTTCATGCTAACATATTGGGTCCTTTTGTGTAAAACAAAATAAAGAAAGGTGCAATATTTTTACAATTTGAAGCGAGCCAACATTGCAAAAATGCTTGTTTATAGCTGAAAAACTTTTTCACTATTCAAATCATTCGTGCGTTGCCTCATGATTTCAAATTCAGACATTTTATCCGGCAAAATATGACAACCACGTTACAAAGTCCAATCCACACAATACCAGATGTAAAACTGTTTTCAGATCTTTCGATTCAATTATTAAAACATCATCACATCATCGTCCGTATTTGACCTCATGTTAGAAACCAAATCCGATGCAATATAAAGCATGCATCATTTACTAATGGCCTTTTGAAATATATCAAAATCAATATTCGTACGATAACGAGGGGGGGGGGAGATTTTAATCAAAGGGCACGCTCATTTATATACACATGCGTGGAGTTTACTACATTTTGCTTTGATTATAACCCACTTCGCCAAAATGTGTGGGGGGGGGGAGTTGGCACCTTCTCCCCCTTATCTCAATGTTCGCGTCATGAGCGGTGGTTTAACCTTTAATTAAAAGTCTTCCTGAGCATGTGACATAACTAAACTTTGACGCAAATACTTGGCAGCAAAAATGGTGTTTTCGAAGGAGGTTCACATGCACTGTGAGATGTGACGTGTTAGATGAATTCATTATATCTTATACACAATATGACGTTGGTTTTCCGGTATATAAAGTAACCGTGAGAGATGTTTTGTGTGTGGGATTGACGCAGGGATACGGAAGAGTATTAAAATAAACGTATATCCGAGTCACATATAGTTCATATAGTGTCTTGCTTATAGAAGTTAATCATACTGTTAATAAGGTATTTTTAACGTGTGACGTTGCAAACCGCATACAAGCGCGCTATAGTCCAAACTTCTAGAAAACCACTGACGCATGTAATTGCAATACAATACCGCGAATTGCAATACCGCGCTGAGAGAATTAAACTTTTGCCGTCCTTCGCATTGTCAGTTTATTATATCAGCATTGTCAGTTTATTATTATTCTATCATAAATTGCAGGAAATTGAAACCGACATATTTGTTGTTTTGTTTGAGGACGGTTTGCTTGCCATTTGTTGGGATTCCATTCCTATGCAACCAAGCCAAAACAAAGACTGGACGATGTTTACACTGAATTATGATTTATCAAAAAGGATTAATCTTTTGCTAAAATCATGGAAATTAATTCGTATATAGACTATTGAAAAATCTCCCGTGTTTCCCCCCTTCCCAAGTGGCTTCAAACCTGGCTCAGACGGGTGCTAGCCGGATGCACTGCCGTATTAGAAATTTCTCAGTATGCTTTCGCAATGTTTATATTCGCTGTAGATTTGCGTGATTTTCTTATGAGAACTACACGGACAATGATATGTTTCTTACAGCCAAAATTGACCTTCTGAGGCCAATTTTTAAATTTTTACTTTCATGCAGGAGTTCACTAAATTTTACTTTTAGTTTGGTCGAGATATTTTGCAAAAGCTTTTAACATCATGGATGGCAGCACTTTCCTTGCGATAGTAACTTCTAGTATATCTTGCCAATGTTACGAGCTTATACGTCTCACCACCTAAACCCATCTAAGGACCCTCTCCGGACTCCCCCCCCCCCGGTCAATGCTGGAATCCAGGTCTTCCTGTATAAAGAACTATACAAGTAATCTTCTAAATTGAGCGACATGAACACAGTATCTTCCTGAATTGATATGGTAACATTTCCTGTGTTGAATATATTGTTGCTGTAGAAAGCGGAAATTTTCGATGACGAGTCTTATATATGACCTCTATATATAATAATTCATTGTTACGTCATGTCGTAATGCTACTGTCATGGAAATTAGGTCATTTGATTATGTTAAAAATAGACAACTGTTTGTATGCATGCAACTGCTTGTCTGTTGGACATGCCAACGAGTTTGAGTGCCTTGAGTTGCTTACGGAGTTAACGAGCGTTATATGATAACATTTTCATTCAACTTATCTCGCTTTCATCTGGTTTAAATGAATGTTATTTTGGGCAAATAACCAAATCACGCGGACACGTCATGTGGGGTTATATTATTATTGTCTCTAACAATTTTTAATTAACATGAGTTACGATCTGAGACAAATTGGTCTTAAAATTTCCCGGGGGAGGCCAAGGGGGGCGTATACAGAATGTTGATAGAATATTAATAAAGAACTTGTTATAACTTATAACTTATAGTCTAGCACTATTATATATCTTTGTTGACACACCAGATTGATTGCATGCCAGAATTTTCTGACTTTTTTTTTGTCTTTGGGAAGTTTTTAATTCTTCCTTGCCCTTTTGCCCCTCTTCAATATTGTTGGCAAATGGCTTATATTGAGTTAATGATGAAACTGCTCAAAGCGTTTTTACTAAAAATATACATTCTGTCAGGTCAAAATAAGGAGGGCAAAATTAAAACATTCATCAGTGTATAGTATACTATCTGATTATATTAACATTATTCATAAACGGCAAACAGTGAAAACAATTTTAAGTGCATATATGGTTATGGCTGTTATGACTCGATGCTACGTGTTGAATGTTTGCCAAATGCAACGACTTTCCTAAACGGTTGCAATAAGATATTTATTCACGACTCTTCTTCTCGAGGTTATCTAAATAACGAATTATTTGGCGTCATAACATATTGCTACCTCGTATATATATATGCTGTCTGCTCAGCGAAGATTCCAGCATGGAAACGAGGCTAGGTAATTCTCAGGAAACATTACGCGACAAGGAATGTCTAGAATACAATTCCGTAATCCACGAGGTCTTAAATTAGACACAATGATCAAAAGACCCTTTGCTTCCGTCCACACCTTGATAGTACTTCATTAGTGAAAGAAGATTTAGTTTTAAAGCATGGACGATGCATGTGCATGGCACTAAACATGTAGGGAACAAAACTGTAGTTGGTAGAGTACTAGAGTGCAATTACCTTGAAAATACAAGGAGAAATTCGACGTTTCGAGCGAAGGCCCTTCGAATTACTCCTTGTATTTTTGTTAGGTAGTTGCATCCCAGCTACACTGGCCTGTCAAGATTGTCTAACATGTAGGTACACATACTGTCGTAAGTCCTAATAGGACTTTGTACACGTCCTAACATGATCTTGACGTGTTACCAAAGGTTCATTGATCATGCCAATATTTCAAAAATATTTAATTTGGGGGTCTAAAACCCATATCGACGATCTTCGAATTGCACGTATCATTTCTAGTTTGCGTCATCTATATGTCTTACTCAAAGCTCAATCAATGTTCCCTTGATTCAATGATACTTTCTTTTGAATTGCGGGGGCTACCCCTTCCCCCTCCACACACGTCTCGTGCTCGGTCATATGTCTGAAAGCTAATATTTTTCGTTGGGCATCAGCACGCATGCCATATACAGTTTCCATCTTTGACATAGAGTTCTATCACTACCCACTTCACTCGTGAACATGTCTCATTGGAGAACAAGGATCGATTCATATTGGAGGGACAACTACGTGAGCAGAACGTTTCGAGCAAGGCTCTTCGTCATGAAGTTAGTAGCTCCCGATAAAGAGCCTTGGCTCGAAACATCGAAGTTCCGCTTATATTTTTCAGGTAGTTGTATATCCTCATACCGCAGCTGTCTGTTATCGTACCGTCTCCACCTACACCGCCCGTTCTTGTGGGAGCAGTCGTTAGGTTTAAAAATGTTGTCTTTACTGATACTCGAACTTTTCATCCGCGAAAACCTCGCTATTTCACATAGCCCTGTCCTTGTTATATTCCTTATAGATACCTTTCCTTTACACTAGAGTGTATCCCGACCCCACCCTCCCTCCCCCGCGCGCCACGTTCTTGCCCATGAGGCGATGTTCCATGTCCCCCTCACGATTCAGGGGTGCTTCCCCTGGCCGCTCACATTCTGGCCCACATTCCTGGTAAATGCGGTCGAATATCTCAACACTATAGTAACCTCATCGGTGACCTCAGCTCAATCTTTGTTTCAGACGTCATACTGATTATGCACATAACTTAACTATTTAATAGCCCAGCAAGACGATGAAAGATGCTTAAAATAACTCCATGGCGCTTTCATACCTACAATAGTGTTTGCCAACTATAGTCCCGTCTGAGCTTAACACAAATCGGCGTTAACCTTGTACCTTGTGTGTTGACAATTGGCTTAACTTTGATATTGACAAAATATCACGGAAACCCAATGATCTATATAATCCCCAACGTAAATCCAAAACAAATTATTAGCGGCATTCACAAAGACTTCGTAAATTTCATATTGAAGGCGGAGCTTATTGCGGAATATGGACTATCAAGTATGTATCCTCCTTCATCCCATCTCAAGTGGCTTATTGCGGTCACTGGAATTTGAACTGGAATAAGTTTTTGGAGTACTGCCATGACCTCAAGGACTTGTCTTGCTTATCATGTTATTGCCTATAGATAATATTACATTCTAGACTACAAAGCATGCGATAAACAAGCCTCGTTAACTCGTTTCCGCGCTACTATAAATGCCATTCTATAATTCATCTCAATTCTCAAATATACGTTTCATTCTAAACTTTGGCGGTGAAATGTTTTACATATGAAATCGTATATACATAGCTAAAGTAAAACGAAACTAACTTTATTGAATGACTATGTCAGTTCTGTTTAAGCTGTTCTCCCTGGATGATCACAGACATCATAACTGACAATATTCGTCGTTATTGACATTCAGCAAAACCTCAAATATTCGCATCGTGTGAATGACTGTTACCAATCCGGGGGAGGAGCAGGCTCGCCATTAATAATGTACAAATGTACAAACATTATGTGGATCATTATGCTTTACCATTTACACCATTTAAGGAAATAAAGTATTTAAAACAAAAACCGGCAAAAAATAACATATCGAAAGTCCAAGTGAAATAGATTTAGTTGATCATGTTTCGATTATTACATGTTGAAGAATAATCATCAAACCAATTGATGATGATTTTGATAATTCTGTGTTTTCAACATGCTCTCATTTTCCTTTTTTTATTCTTTATATCTCCCTATTCAAATTGGCGGCTGGTTCTGGTTGTACACGGTAGTAGGCTTTTGGACAAATGCCGTATATTACTTTTCCGTATCTTATAGAATCATGTTATCTTATATTTTCAGTTTCAACTCATATGGCTAGGGGCCTATTAGGATTGCTTTAACAAACAGCACTTTTAGTAACAGGAAACCAAAATTAACACACAGACTTTTCAACGGGCTCTTCATCTATTAAATCACACACTGTCCTTAAACAAAGGTCATCAACACAGCATGGAGCCAAGCGCCGCATCACGCATAATGATACTATTAATAACAAACGCACAAAGCGCTCTATAATTTTGTCTCGTGGAAGTCGCCAGAAATTTGCTAATTCAAATTCATTAATTCAGCTGATATTGTGTACGTATGGAGCGCGACGCGATACTAAGAACCCCTAAGGTATAATCATTATCGTGTTTTGAATTCTGACTAGGATGCCATGGCGACCGGATATGAAACTGTTGCGTCTATGGGAGATAGTGTAAATATATTGCATAACCACAATAGAAAGAACGAGTTCTTGATCTTGTTTTGCGTTCATTTTTTGGCAGAGTATCAATATTGTAAAACTTGGCAATGATTGGATATGTCTTTTTTGTTGACATGTGAAATTATATATGACGTCACAGCGACTACTCCATATGCTTGCATCCAACAGTCTCTTCCTCTGTATATCATAGTTAGCCATATAGAGTGAGGGGGTCATTGCCCAGGTTAGGGTCAGGGGTGGGGTGAGGGTTAGGTACGCCTGAATGATGATATACATCACAATACCCGATCATACGGGATGGTCATCTCTTACTGTACCTCCAGAGAGAAGTTTAGAACCAATACAGTTTAAATAAAGTTAGCTTAGTTTTAAAGGTTACGTATGAGACTGTTGATGTCTTCTTAATACACGTGATATACGTGGAGATACGTCAGGCAGTGGTGTGGAAGAATAGAATTCGTATGAAAGGAAAGTACTCTACCAAGTTTTATCACAGGCAGCCGCACATAAAACTTGTACAATCTTTCGAGCAATCCTTGACGATATACAATTGAGACAATCTAGCTTTCACATGCATTCAGATGTATTTTGCCATCCTACCCTACATATTGTCTTGTTGTTTTTTGTAAAAATGTATCTATTTCGGCGTAGAGCGAAAGTTGTTTAAAATTTCATTGTACATTTGATGGTAGCATGAATATTCGAATAAATATGGCTATTGAACAAATAAACATATACAAGTGTACCGAACAGCTAAGAAGAGAGCTGATAAATAGAGTTATTTAAGTGACCACGTCACAGAATAGATACAAACAGAAGATAGACTTCTTGGGTTTTCATTTTGATGACGAATAATGCCGTGGCAGCAGTTACGCCTTCTTGGCTGAGTCGACCTTCTGTGTGTTCGTGACCACGTGCTAATGACTTGACGTTTTGTGTGGCCAGAAATAGTAGAAATATGTAAAGCACATTGTGTTCTTAAATTCCACTAAGAAAACAATACTGGCAAAATTTATTGGGAAGACAATGTCGAACCGTTGCCAAAAAAGTGTTCACAATGATAAGAACGTAGCCGCCCCCTGCAGGCATCGCCTTTACATTGTAAATCCAAGCAATCAAGGTATAAACCACGAGATGCCTCGTACCGGGGGCGTGGGTGTGTGATCACCCTCACCCCAATGTTTGTTCCTAAGTAACTTTAGGTATATTTCTGAGTGACTCGGGCTGATATTCAGGTTAGTTATGAAAGCACTTAATTGACCTCTGTGAATATTCTGGGCTTGGGAGAAATATATGTGGGCCATATGATGAAATTATGTCGACAGATGTATAGATTATATATATTTAAACAATCAGCGCGAACTATTAGGGGAATAACATAATTAAGCAGCATTACGTTATTATTATATTAGATTACCATCAGCAGACATATTCCTATAATAAGATTATGGTACTTGGCCAGAGGTACTTGGCATTCAATTGATGTTTCGAAATGGGTGTGATGTTGAACTTTCGAACCCCACACAAGTGAAGTGCAGCACTTTTTTTAACGTCCTATTAAAAGGCGAGTCTTGAAGAACGTTCTCGCTAGCCTCCTCCATACCTTGCCAATAACATATTAGAAATTGAATATTCATGCCAACCCCTGACGATGACCCCGGGTTTAAACTCAAAACCTCTGGCTTTGGGGTATGTTGGGTACAAAAGTGAAATACTAAAATCTGGCAAATAATAGACAAAACATTGCAGGTATTGACGGATACATATTTTCTGTTTTTATGTTATCGCTGGAGGAAACAAGAGTATACGAATAAAACATACCATGTTTGGAAGCCATTGTATGTACAGGGCTTTCGAAATTAGTTTAAGTCGAGGTTTAAGCATATGTGGGCGGCTGAAACTGAAAGAATGTTACAAAATATACCTGGGATGTTTGACAGCATTTCAATCGTGTGGTCATCTTTACGTGTCACGTTTGTGGCTTCAACAGTTGGTTGTCAGCTAAGCTTGTTTACTGCAGTATAAGTATGGTGAAATTCTTGTTGAAAAGAAATGCGTATTAAAACACTTTAAAACGTCAGGATTTTGATGAATCATTCTAGTGTATTTGTAGCTTGTTTTGGTTTTTAGATGGTGGTTAATGTGAAACTAATCACTTCTACATGTTTCTTGTAATGTACAGCAGCTATTCTCTTGCAAATGGTTAAATGTTATAAACTGAATGAAAAATACAGATTTAGAAGTAGTGTAATGTTTTAAAAAAATTAGCCGGTAGTAAACTTCGTAACACCCTCCCCCCCCCCAGCCCCTGCAGAGCTACGGCGACCGTTGGTTTATTTTGAAACAGCACTGATGTAGATGATAGTGCATGCCTCAACAGTATGGTGCAAATGTATGGTGATTGTGAAATTTATCTTACGCCACAGCAGGAAACCTCACGAATTCCAGTCTTATTTTAATCTTCATTTGTTTAGTAATACGCATTATTAATATCACGCATGCGACGAAACAAGAAAGTTGGGTGTCTATATCAACAATAGTTGTGTGACTTGCGTCAGTCTGTGTGACCATGGTGAGACTGACTACACCGAATATTTTCTCAAACTATACCTCACGATGATATTTGTGATGTTACTCTGAGTGTGTATCCACACCGGGCAAGCTTGAAAAATATGCCTGGCCACGGTGGGAATCGAACCTACGACCTGGAATACTAGCCCAATGCTCTGCCATGCAACTGAGCTACGCGGTCAGGTCGGTTCGAGTATGCGATATTTTGGAACAGAATCTAGTTCCTTCGACATCAATGTGATCTAATAATCACGATTTTTTTGTGTTAGTGTTGTGTACTCAGGTGAATATGATATTTGTGATGTTACTCTGAGTGTGTATCCACACGGGGCAAGCTTGAAAAATATACCTGCCCACGGTATTCACTAGCTGCGACAGACACTATAATTACATGCACTCACAAATCATCGCTTGCATGTCAGTAATGTGACCTTTTGATATGAAAAACAACACCTGAAACTTTGTTTTGCCAGTGGTTTTGCTAGGCTCGTAAATCTAATTATCTGGCACAATCGATATGGTATGCTTCTTCGCACATGTTTTCATCAGTACATGATGATATAAATACAGTATAACACAAAAGAATCGCTATGCTATGTCAAGTTCCTCTGTTCCTTGTTTTTTCTTATCTCATGATTGGGAACGGATGAGCACGCCCATCACAGAAATATTTACCCTTTGAAATAATATTTGCTATTTTAAGATCACGGAATCTTCAAATTCAATTAAAATAAAGATTGTTTTTCTCCGATACAAAAGCCAACACAGACATATGTGTTTGCTAAATAGCACGCGGACCTTCTAATCCGTCACTGTTCCGTTTTGTGGAGGTTCCACAAAAGAAAATGTACGAAAATTACGTAAGTCCGGACATTGGTCAGTAATAGAGGTGTCCATATTAGCGAAATATCTTAATTGCACCTTTATCTGACAGACATGCCAACTCTTCAGAATTCCGCGCGAGATACCGTTTTCGTAAGCTCAAACACATCATATATTCTCATTAATTTTCATTTAAATGTCTTCTGAATAAAAAATGTTTTTTAATTTAATCATGCACCGCTTATTGACCGTGAAGAAATTTAATATATGGACTGGTACATTTGAAGATTCTGCAGTTTTCTGGTAAACTAATGCAAATATGGGGTTTTACTGACATTATATGTACATTGATATACAAGATTGATGCCGGCTCTTTACATTGACATCAGTAAATGGTTATAGACTTTCGCGTCTTCGCGGATAAGGATGTTTAAATCGTGCCTTGGGTCATCCAAGGCAGTTGGACCCCTCATCATTTAACTTTATGACCTAACACTATTATACAAAATCAAATACAACCTTATTAATGTCACCTTTAACCAATACCTTACACCTGCAACTAACCCCTATGCCACACGCAACTTCGACCCTAACAACTATAACATAATCGTCTCCAATAATCAAGAATTCTTCCGACAATCCTATTTCCCACGCACCGTCATACTCTGGAACAATATACCCCCAAACATCAAAGCCGCCCATTCCCTACAGACTTCAAGCACCATCTACAATCTTATTACAAAGCCAAACTGTTTACCTACATACCACCATAGATAATTTTGTTCTAAAATTCGTTGTACAGTATCCTATATGTTAAGTTGCATGTAATCTGTAATATGTTCGTGCATAATTGTCCTAGTACGTCTCGTTATCCATTAATTGTTAAGGGGTCGAATATCAATTGGAATTTAGTTTCTGTTTTCTTCTCTTGTCACAGCATTTTCTAGTTATTGTTATTGTTATATCTACGTAAATGTAGATCTTTAATGTGTGTGACAAAATGAATAAAAATAAATAAAATCAATTGACCACTTGCGTAATAGACTAAATTTTGATCTCAACAAAAATTTCATTACAGCTTGAAAGAGCATCACAAAATTAGTAATATTCCAAAGTTTCGTTACAAAATGTTGTAAAATGCGGAAAATATAGCCTTGCGAAATTTGCAATTTTCAGTCATTTTAGATTACAAACCGGAAATTGACAGCCTCGAACGGGTTTGAAGTTGAATTTTTGTCTAGACTTGTTTAGTTCAAAATTTAGTCTATTACGCAAATGGTCAATTGCATGGGCAAAAGCCTGTTGGGAAATCCACTCACCAATGAGTGAGAAAATCAATAAATTCAAGACAGCGTAGAGATTGTCGTATTCTAGCTGCGTCTTTGCTTACACTAGGCCAAAAAATGTGGGTTTCCGGTTTCCCGACCCTACCTAGCTTTTGGATGTCGAAAGTAAGTGTTTCCACTTAGAGGAAAATGTTTGTGGAAAATTGAAATTTGAGGCAATATTTGGGTAAATTTATCTTTGGATGTGGAAACACTGACTAAACAAAATGGCGTCCGGTTGTTAGGAAAATTAAAAAAAAAAGTTTAAAAAAAAAATTAAAACCGACCTACCCTACCTAAGTTTTTATAAGAAGAAACCGGAAACCCACATTTTTTGGCCCTATTAAAATGCTGACATGTCTGTCTGACTGTCTTTTGAAACGAAACATCCTTGGTTAAAACTTAAAAACATCTGTCAAGAAGTTATGCAGGTGTGTTTCTTTTCATTCATCAAACACGATGGGCGATCAATGAAATCCACCCTGCTGTGTTGGAATGTCGAGTGCACCATGTCGCATGTGTGTGTGGTTTTAGATGGCGGAACGCGATGACGTGTCAGTTTTTGGTCGTATTTCAATATTTGACCTCGAGTTATAAATATCCGCGACCTTCTTTATTTGGTTTGGCTGGCAAATCCCCGCATCACGTCGCATAGTTTATTTTTTTATTTTATTATATTCGCCCATACATTTACACCTTTTTTACTCTGATATATAATACGAAAGTTCTAGGGGGCTACTAGAAACCTACATCGGCGTTTTTGATTAAGATCCTTAGTTTAAAAGTTCGTACAATGCTAGTTAATAATATAGTCAGGATTACAGTCGGTATGTATCATTGAACTATACGTAAACTGGAAGGCTAACTGCTATGATGAAGGCCTATGATTTGCTGAAGCCAAAGTAGTTTTTTCTGAGTTATGAGCAGAAATACTTGATCCCAAACGTTGGAGCTATTGAAAATTGCTATTCGGTGTGGAAATTTCAAGACTTCGACGAAAAGAAAAATATTTTAAAAATACAAAAACAACTGCCATTCGGCAAAAAGATGGCAAATTATCGGCAATTATTTTTGCAGTTTTTAAATATTTCCCTTTTAATTAACTAAAGTCTTGAAATTTCTACACCAAATAGCGTTTTTCAATAGCTTCAGTTTCATATACACCACAACGTTCAGTGTTGAATATTTCTGCTCATAACTCAGAAAAACTAAAATGCACTGGCTTCAATCAACCCTGAGTTCGAGCTTGAGTTAGCCTTGTATTTTTCAGGTAGTTGCATCCCTATCACAGGGGTGGAAAAAGTATCGGAACCTGGGAACCTAGTTCCCAGAATTTTTTTTGAGTTGAGAGTTTTGCAGAAAATTTTCCAGAAAATATTTCAACATTTTGAGATAACTCTGTTTACTCAACTTACAAGTTACAACTATTCTACTTTATTTACACTGTACACGCTAACATCAGCAGCCTTTTAAATATTTGACAGAAATGAATTCTTTTACCCACCCCTGCCATCACAATAAGGTAAAATGGTAAATATATGCTCTGCAAAGTCTCCAATAAAATGCAAATTAAATAGTAAACAATTTTTTCCACCCCTGCCCTATCAATCCGAAGCTTTCTTCAAGTAAGTATATACTAAAGGAAAGACGTATATACAGTATCATAAACTATATATCTCAAACTGATTAATAATTCACGAGTAAATTAGCCAACCATATTGCTTTATTTTGCTCACATGATAATACTGGATACCTGATGAAGTACATTGATCAATCAAAATTAATCAGTCAGTCCTTGGACTGGATCAAAATTAATGAAGTAGTGATTTATTCGTATGATATGTAATATTTCAAATCCAACTATGAGAACTGGACTAGATTTCAAGTCCTCGCATTTTGATCCTCGGCTTCACCTTGGACTTGATCAAATTGCGCGGACTTAATTGAAATATAGTCCAGTCCTCAGTCGGATTTGAAATATTACATAAGGAATGTTCCTGAAGGTCGCATGATATTGTACATTGTATTTTTTTATGTGGGTAAAAAGTCGTGCGTCGTAAAATACCCTAAATTATAAAATAGGGTACCCTGGGTGCCAGAGGTTTTTTCACGCTCGAAAAATAAACCCACGTCAAAAATAGTAACGGACTGGTATGCGGTATTTCAAGGCGACGGAAAACAAAAACGGGGAAGGTCTATAATGGCCAGAGTCTCTGTTTAATGAGATTGGAAAAATAAAACCAACGCCCGAAGGTGCTGTCACCGAAAAAAACTTTTCGTGCGATAATCTCCTTACGTAATTCTCTATAATCCCTTTTTATAGTTTTTTTTTCCAGTATTGTCTTGTTGTTGACACTTACGGTTTTAGTATTATAATACATAAAGTGCAATCTTCAGCTATTCATAAGCAACACATGATGATTAATTAAATAACAAACATGAAACTTGCATTAAAATATGTTTATCAGTTATAGTAATACGGGTCCGTTTATTAATCATGTACATGTGGGCAGGGTATAGGGCAGGCTTGATATGGTATTATTATATTTTCAGACTCTAAAGCACATTTGTAAGACTGGATAAATGCGCTTTAGAGTAAAGAATTTTATACTATATGAATATTTTATTAAATACTGGAAAGAGCAGATTCAACATGGTGGAAATAATGGTAAACCAAGAGTAGTTTACAAAAACTTGACAATAAACTTCGGTTGTGAAAGTATCTTTATTTAGTCCAGAATTTCAAATATCGTCAAGCTGTTACAAAACTAAGGATCTCAGCACATAGATTACCTGTTGAAACTGGTCGATATAACAATGTTCCATACAATGATAGGCTATGTAAACATTGTGACATAAATGAGATTGGAAATGAATACCATGCACTTTTTAATGTCATGCAGAAATTCTAAATTTATTAGTCTTAGAAATATTTTTATAAATAATTTATGTAAAATAAATCGTTCTTTCTGTTTGTTCACTCAACAAGATATTTTTAGATATATTATGGCTATTCAAGACAAGACAATTATATGAACTTGGTTGCCAAATACTGTTACGACGTTTTAGCAGTTTTTGAAAGTTTAAATTAGGTTATTAGTAAAATTGTTATATTTTTGTATGTAATGTATAGTGGTAGATTTTTTATGTACTGTATGTATCTTAATATACCAAAACTGGTATTTTGTTGTTGATTAAATATATAATATAATATGTCAAGGAATGCGCCCTCTGACGAGAAACTGCCCCCCCCCCCCCTTGTTCATGCATTTCGGTGTCCCTGCCAACAGTAACAGGGTTCTTCTCCCGACTCAAACATAAATTGTAAGGGCATTTTAAGGAGTGTACATTATGTAAAACACGTAAAATTGAGTCATTCAGAATCAGTTGCCAGGAATTCCATAAAAAACTGATACTACTAAAAATAATACGAGTGCGTGGGTCGTAAAACAAAAAATGAAGTGATTTACTAATTGCATTCCTTTTTTACACGTTTCCCTCGCTCATTTTGAGATCCAAGTTTGGTTAAACTATAAGGAATTTTCCGATTCCGAATTTTTGGATTCAACCTCCATATTTGTCAACCCTCATAAAATCAACCTCCATATTTGTTTCTTCAATAACATCTTTGAAGTTTGCTGGCCTAACTATGTCATTATATTAACTGTGCGCCAGGTTAGCTAATATATATAGGATAACCCTTCCCCAAAGGTTGCCCCAGAAGGTATGCAAAACGAACGTGCCAATAGCCTACAGTATACATAAGGTAACTCCTTTCTGAGGACACTGGCAACATACATCATACTCATACATGCAAGAGTACCCAAGGTTGTTTGGAGTTGTTAGCCAGTAACTCCAGGTTTATCTTAAGGTAATTCCGCAGTAATTGTTCCCGAAATGAGAATGTGCTGAAACTTCCCAGGCATGGAGTTTATGATATACTTAAAGTAAAATCACACAAAAAAGTCGGGGTCACCGAACTTGTTAAGAAGATATGACAATCACAATATACCACCTTTACCCCAATATGGCGCCATCTTGACGCTCATTACGAGTAACAGCAAACTCACAACAGCCCGATATTTATTGACGTTTTTAGCGCGGATTTTGCTTTAGTAAACCTATCTTGTAATTATTTTTGAAAAAATATTGTGTTTTGAGCAAAATGAAACTACGAACGTGTACAATGCATTGATAAAGGATTTTTTTCAAGATCCAAATATGATTTTTCTTTTAATTTCGGATATGAAATGTAAAATGCATTAAAGAAACAAATTATCAGTTAAAAAACGGGGGTCACCGATCGTTTTAGGGAATTGTGGCATTAAAATGTGAAATACAAGTAAATAAATATACTACAGACACAGGGAACCCTAGCTACACTTTTGTATGCCTTTTTTGAAAACATTGATTTTAACGTAATTCTTTGCACGAATGTAACCAAAGATGTTTTGAAGTAACATAAAGTTGTCATAAAATGATATTTATTTTTAACGGTACGTATAATAGATGAAATTATAAGTTATAAGATGTGCGCAGTAAAAGTGCGCAATGCAAAACTGCGGAATTACCTTAATTAATTAAGGCACATTTCCACTCAAGAAAATTTTCCACGGACATGGAGAATTTTCCGAAAATATCATTCGGTTAAAAGTTGAAAACTTTCAACTTCTGTATGGTCTCGCCTTTCCGTATATGGTCTCTATTCTGTGCCTTTAATATAAACCTTTTATAATATATTATAAGTAACCCTACCTTCCATACTGCTGGGATGACTGCAAAATTCGTGCTCCGTTCATTTTCTGATCGTCCACTTCCACACTTCTCACGACAGGATACACATCAACTTTGGAAAATACAAACTATGTGTTATAATCGCATGCAGACAGAGGTTGAAATTTTAAAAAACATTTTGGTCGTCCAAGTGGCTACCAGTACCAGTGAATAACTGGATCCAGTGGTCGCAAAATTTAATATCATGTCTCCCTAAATCAACGTGTTATGAAATATGAAGTATTCTAATTGTATATGAATAACGTAAAAAAACCAGGTGTTTAATATGTTGGCAAATTATATGCAAAAGCAGAATGAAATGCTTGATCATATCATCACCGAGGTGTTTTAGGGCTTTAGGATCACTCTACGATCAAATTTTTTTTATCTGCCGACCTGATACTTGCCAAATGTAGCCGTCTCGAGGGGACTACCTTTGAAAAATTCGGTCGTAATTGGCGTTTCAACCCCCTGCAGGCAGAAGGCTCCTAAGGGGGCTATTGAAGCTTAACGGTGAATACTGGGGATAATTGAAGGTCATGTTAGAGGCCATGTTAAACGAGTTTTGTAGATGGAAATTTTCGAATGGGAATTTTATCCGCTTCTTAGACCTAACCAGGAACAGTTGCAAAAAATGCAACTACAGGCTCTCTTTCCTTCCAGAGGGCCTATACACCCTATACAGTAGTTGCATTCATCGCAACCGCTCCTGGTCACAGAATAGGAAGGTACACCAGAAGTCTCACTCAAGCAAGTATTTGTCCGCGTTCTTACAAGCGATTCGTCATCAATCACGCCATCCTGGCTAGTACAACCGGCACTTTGTACCTACCAAAACCTTATAAAAACTTCCGGCTGTACTAGCCAGGATGGCGTGAGGGAGTTAAAATTTTCGTGGACGTAAACACAGACTCAAGTTACACTTCTGCTGTACTTTCCTATTTTGTGTCCTGGTTAGGTCTAATAAGTGTATACTAAAATTCACACTCAAAATTTTCAAATACAATGCCCTTCTACAAATGCCGTAAATCCACATATTAAACTAGGCAATTTTTGCTGCAATGTTACCTCTTTTCTTCAAAGGTTTTCCAATGTTCTTATCATCAGGCGTGTCAAAATGTACATGTTTCTTTCCCCGGTCGGTCTTCCAGTCCCGGGTCATCGGTACCGGGTGACGTTTTCGAGGAAGCGGCGTGTCAAGAGGAGACGAGGAGGTCTCAGAGGAGGAGACCTGGGGAGAGGTCTGAGTACGAGTGTTGCGAACGAACTTTCTTTTCACACCTAAGACGAGACCAAGTTTAAATGCCATGTTTGCTCAAGTCGTTTTGGAAAATTACAAAGAACTTAAGGGAAGCTGGTCAACTCGGCCCACTGACCAACTCGGCCCATACCATCTTGGCCCAATTGTTAACTACTGTTTGACATATTAGGAAAGCTAATATTTTACAAAAGATAGCACCAAATCAATACAGCCATTTGCAGTTGCATTGGGCGTACAGATGAGTAAAAGTTTGAGAACATCCAGTTTGAGAACATCCAGTTTGACTTTATTTAATTAAAGAATCTATCGAAGTTTCAAACTCTCGATCTGTCCGTTTTGATACTAAATTACTAATCATTCAAATCTCTCTCAAAATTTGCAAAGATAAAACGCAGTCATGGCTCCTAGCAGTTTTTTAGTGGTTAGATTAGTCAGTTTACGAGCGGGAGGAGTTGTTCCTTGAACGGTGGGCCGAGTTGGTTAGTGGGCCGAATCCTGCCGCACGCGAGAGAAACTTGCTGAGCTAACGGCCTTGTTATGTGTGGTGGCTAGCTTAGTATGTTTCTCTCCGGTGCGGATAGTTTTCGTGAGGATTTAACCTCCTGAGGCCTTGAGGAAAATATCGTGTTTGATATTTCTCACCTCGCGAGGAAAAACTTCAACGTCTGTGGATGTTGCGAATTTAGTGCTGAGCTGCTTGAATCAGGCGTAAAAAAAATACCTGTGGTTCCGGTTTCATATCGTGAAAAAATTAGGGTCGGTAGGTCGGAAATAAATTTTTTTTTTTGAATATTTTTTTCATGATTTTGGCGGTTTTTTGCTGGGCGATTTGCAGTAGAGTCCCGACATCAATATTAACTAGAGATTCGTATTTCCTATGGACGAATTTAGGCAATTTGTTTCAATAATTAGTATGACAACAGACGTCATTTTGGCACGCTGTATGAGCAGCCCGCAACCACCCGGAGAAAATAGGGTCGCACTGTCAATCGCGTTGAAAAAATAATAGGGTCGGTCGGGAACCGGAACCACAGGTATTTTTTTTTATGCCTCAACTAGCTAAGAGTCAGTTCCGTCAAACATTTCTTACCTGATTTCGGATTCTCTTCACGGGGTTTGCTGTACACAGTGGTTTTAAAACTTGGCTGTGTCTGGTGTTGAACAGCTGCAGTATAGTTTGGGTTTGATGCTGACACACCTTGGGTCAAGTTTTGACTTGCAACTCGACTAGATGATGTCTGCAGAGTAGGGTGGGGTAAGGCTTGTTGGGTGGGTGGGGCATGGTTCACTTGGGTTGTGGAAAGGCCTTGTGTTGTACTGCCAACAGTTGATGTATAAATGTGTTGTGGTGGAGCCGTAATTGGTTGAGCATACTTGAACTAAAAAGAGAAGAGTTTTATGTTAAAAAGAAAGGTTATAATCTGATCGGCAAATGCCAATGTCAGGTTGACAAAAAATTCTGATAGTCGCCTTCCAGACTTCTGATGATAGGATATGTATCATTTATCAAATGTGGAAAATTACAAGCTATGTGTTATAATACTGCATGCAAAGTGCTACAGAACCTCAAACAGGGAAAAAATCTTGGAATTCAGGTCAGAACAGTTAGCCATCCTCGGTTAGAGTGAGGGGGGTTAGGGTGATGGGGGTTAGAGTGATGGGGGGTAAGGTGATCGGGGTTAGGGATGTTAGGGGTGTTAGGGTGGGGGGTGTTAGGGTGAGGGGTGTTAGGGTGAGGGGTGTTAGGGTGAGGGGTGTTAGGGTGAGGGGTGTTAGGGTGAGGGATGTTAGGGTGAGGGATGTTAGGGTGAGGGGTGTTAGGGTGAGGGGGGTTAAGGGTCAGGGTTGGGTGATGGTCAGGTACAGCACTCACAAACAAAAAAAGTATGGCTGTATGATGACATACATCACAGATTCATGGATGACTGTGTGATGGATTGTACGAAAGAAGAGAATGGGATTTGCTGGTGACCTTACAATACCTGATATTCGACCAACTGTTTTTGCATCTCTTCCAGATGTTGTAATCTCCTCTCATCTCGTTGTTTAATACTCTGTTCTAGTTCTTGCTGTTGTTTCTCTTGCCAAACACGGTTCTCTTGACATTGACTTTCAATTGCACCTAGTGTGCTCATGAGGTTCTTCATTCGTTCTTCAAACCCACTCGGAAACTAAGTGAAAAACATGACTTTTACCACGCATACTAATTACCTTGTGGTACCCACTCATGGCATACTGGCAGCCATCAATATATATTTTGAAAGCCCTCAGTTACTGAAGATGAATGCTCAGAAGTGAAATCTGTTGAGGTTTGTAAAATTCAATTACTGCATGGACAAAATACGGTGACAAACTCCAACAACATACTTGAACAACTGTTTCATTTGTCATAGTTTTATCATCACTAGACTCTTTGCTTGGGTTTTCTTGGGATAATCTCTGGTCTCCTCTTACAGGTTTTTCCTCTATGATTTTCGGTTGAACGACTCGACGCACTGCAAGGCCATGGTCTTGTCTAAATACAATTAATTAAGATATAACAGATTTTTATTTGTACCATAAATACAGAGACTTTAATATTGGGAGAGAGGGGGGGGGGGGGAGGTAAACATCCATTTTACCTGATTTTTAAAATTATGTTTTAGTCATTATCTGAAACCAGTGTTTCAAATTTAGTGTACTGGAACACAGGTTAGGTTTTGTCATGAGCAGATTCAAGTACAATAGGATGCAAGGCTAAATCTACTAAGGCATCTGCCAGAACTACTGTAGATCAAACATTCAGTAAGAAATTATCATACCGGTACTTACTGCATACAACACTTTACCTTTTGGCAAGCATGTCTCTTGTGGCCCTTCCTTTATCAGATGTATTGAAGGAAACAGCTTTTACTTGGCCTAAGATGCAATGAATTATTGCATGTTAATAAATACAGTTGAGCATCAAATACAGTATATGTCTTACATATCTAAATGTAAAGTATACAGAGTTACAAAATATAGTATACCTCTTTCTGATTCAGCAACATACGATAAATTGTTGGAAGGTGCACCTTGACACAGACCAGCTCCTTTTGTCTATTTACATACAAAGCAATGCAGGTAATATATAGCATTAGGTTGAGGCGGTTTTTCGGTATACCGGAAAATACCGGGTTTTTTGAAAAACTGGTTTTTCGGTTTGCCAAAGTCCAAGTACCGAAAAACGGAAAAACCCCGGAAAAAGACAAAGAACTGGGAAAAAAACAAGATAAAAATGCTAAATATGTTTCAGTTAATCCTAGCTGAAAACTTGTAAATACATTATTTTAACGTTGTCTTCTTACTTGTATTTTTATACCTAGACTGTAAGCTTTTGATATTAAGCATCTAAAACCAAAATTCTTCACATAACAAAAACATGTGCTACTGTACATAGTTTTATGTCTGTGTGTTATTTATAGATTAAAAATCGGTTTTTAGTTTTTTCCTGTTTTGTTTCCTGACGGTTTTCGGTTTCGTTTTTTTTCAAGAACCGCCCCAGCCTATATAGCATTAAATTAACTATACACAAAAACTATGGTCATAAATGTAGTCAGTAAACATGCATCAATAGGGGTAAGCTCCCCCACCTTGGCAGTCTGGCATTTTAACTTTCAATTGGGAAAAATGTGCTCCACCCTCCATACTAATCAATGGCAAACACTAGGGGGTGGGTGGGGAGCAATGATCTAGCTTTTACCTTAAGATGTTTCCCAGTTGATTGAGCCAAATCTTTCTTTTCTGGTCTTTTTGAACCATATGAAGCTCGCAATTGCTCTACATTCTTGCTTCCAGAAACAACTACTTCAGGCTTATTCAGACTATGTCTTTCAAATGATGTTTTTGGACTTTTTTGAGAAATAGTTACAGGCATAGCAGCACTATTATTATCAGCTTCTACTTGGCTCTCTACTGATTTGCTCCTGTTTATAGAGAAGTCTTTAGATTTGGGTTCTGCTTGGCTAGTTATTGGTTTGCTATTTATGGTGGAGTCTGTAGAATTAGGTGATGTATACTCTTGTAAATATTTTATGACAACAGGTGTGTCATTGAGTCTGTTCTTGCTACCGTGGGGAGGGTTAGGTTGAGATTGTTCTGAAGGTTGGGTGGAATATTTAATCACTGTTGGCACTGGACCAGTTGCCTGGATTGATGACTGTCCACCTAAAGTAGTAACATATCAGATTGCAGAGAGAGATTTTGCTGTTTTCAACGAGATCTTTAGGGCAAACAAACGCAAGTCTGGCGGCAAGATACTTTTAAAGGCAGATCACGGGCACAACAATGACAAAAATAAAACAATGAAATTTAGAGATTAAGGTGTGAAAATTGATTATCAAAAATTCACATGCATGAAAACAAGGCTATATAGCTAAAGTGAGGTACTATCTGGAAGGGTGTATTCTCTTCAACTTTCATGCAACACTTGTTCTCGTTTGACCAAAGCACAAGACTTGAGAAAACTCTCATGCAAACTCTTGCTTGCCGATCTCAACTCTAATTATTTGGGCTAGACTCTTCTCTTCACCCACACATCATACTTACTGCTCGACTGACTTGCAAACAAGCTTCCACTTGACGTGTCTTTGGATTCGCTGCACGATACATTCCCACTGCTACTACGGTCCAGTGGTGACTTTATTTCCCGCAAAAGACGGGAAGGAATGCGTACTTGCTGCTGACCACTAAATGACCCAACCCTAGACCCAGTTGACACAAAAGAATCAGAGATATGTGCACTCATATTATTCTCCTTATTTTCTGCATAATTTTGGCTTGAATATAAATGTTCACCAAATGCTTGTTTCGCTTGTGTCTGTGCACGATTAGACACTGAATCTGCAGCAGCATTAGTTATGGATAAAATTTCACGGCTTTTCTGCTTTTTAGTGTTCAACAGATGGATGATATCCTCATCTGACACTCCTGCACATTTTTCCATATTATAATTTTCATCCATTTTGTTAAGCTATTCTCTTGAAATCCTCCTCGATACAACCACAGTATGAAAGAAACATGTTGAAGTTCATGTTAAACGTATCTTTTACCGGATTCACCGCATGAAACAACGAATATTGTATAACGCGGAAGGGCTTTTTCGAAACAAAAATACTCAAAACCCCCGCCATTTTGTTTTTCAAAACAAAATCATACGCATGCGTAGTACGCACTGCGTAAAGCTGAAAAAAGCTTCCGCTTTAGCCCGCGTGTACCTAGCCCGCGTGAAAAGTATACCAGATTTAACTATACCTTTTAGCCACGGCGTTCTGTGGCTAAAAGTATATCAGATTTCATTATACTTTTAGCCACGGCGGTCTGTGGCTAAAAAGTATACCAGATTTAATTGCGAAATCTGTAATTTGCGAAATCTGCAGTTTGCGAATTCTGTATTTTGCGAAATATCTATAGTTTAGGTTAAAATAAATAATGTTCACATGTTCCGAGGGTGAGGCGTCAGCAGTAAAATTAAATCGTGTGCAAGTTAACCTAGTTAATTAAGAACCTACCTGTCCTACCAGACTACACGAAGTCATAATTGCGATAAAACGTTATCACAATAAATTGCTTTACTTGTATTAGTTAAATTTCAGTGGCAGTGTCAAATAAACTTCTTTATATAATTATACTATCTGAGACTGCAAAATGTAAAAGTTTAAGATTGAAAATACACCATTGCCAGCAAATTGATTGGAAATTTTGCCCTGACTATGGGATTTTACCGGAAATTCTTCAGATGGTCAAGTGGATCGCAGCCGCGAGGTTTGACATAAAAATGATGGTGATCGCATCGAAAACTTTCGAAAAGGTCAACATTTTTTTGACTTTCTGCTCTATGTTTTCGCAAACTGCAAATTTGAATAGCAAACTATCTAGAGATTTCGCAAACTGCAGATTTCGCAAACTGCAGATTTCGCAAATTACAGTTTCGCAAAGTGCAGATTTCGTTTCGTTTCGTTTCGTAAACAACAGTAAGCCCGTGTTTAACTATACTTTTTCGCCACGGCGTTCTGTGGCTATCACGGGGTTCTGTGGCTGAAAAGTATACCAGATTTAACTATACTTTTTAGCCACGGCGTTCTGAGGCTAAAAGTACATCAGATTAAATTTCACTAAACTTTGAGCCACGGCGTTCTGTGGCTAAAAAGTATACCAGATTTCGGTATACTTTTTAGCCACAGAACGCCGTATTTAACTATACTTTTTAGCCACGGTGTTCTGTGGCTAAAAGTATATCAGATTTCACTAAACTTTGAGCCACGGCGTTCTGTGGCTAAAAAGTATACCAGATTTCGGTACACTTTTTAGCCACAGGACGCCGTATTTAACTATACTTTTTAGCCACGGCGTTCTGTGGCTAAAAGTATATCAGATTTCACTAAACTTTGAGCCACGGCGTTCTGTGGCTAAAAAGTATACCAGATTTCGGTACACTTTTTAGCCACAGAACTCCGTATTTAACTATACTTTTTAGCCACGGCGTTCTGAGGCTAAAAGTATATCAGATTTCACTAAACTTTGAGCCACGGCGTTCTGTGGCTAAAAAGTATACTGAGATTTCGATATACTTTTTAGCCACAGAACGCCGTATTTAACTATACTTTTTAGCCACCGCGTTCTGCGGCTAAAAGTATACCAGATTTCGGTATACTTTTTAGCCACAGAACGCCGTATTTAACTATACTTTTTAGCCACGGCGTTCTGAGGCTAAAAGTATATCAGATTTCACTAAACTTTGACCCACGGTGTTCTGTGGCTAAAAAGTATACCAGATTACGATATACTTTTTAGCCACAGAACGCCGTATTTAACTATACTTTTTAGCCACGGCGTTCTGTGGCTAAAAGTATATCAGATTTCACTAAACTTTGACCCACGGTGTTCTGTGGCTAAAAAGTATACCAGATTTCGATATACTTTTTAGCCACAGAACGCCGTATTTAACTATACTTTTTAGCCACGGCGTTCTGAGGCTAAAAGTATA